CCCCCACCCTCTTGACTATTTTTTCACCTTGATGTTCCTTCCCTCTGTGAAGTCTGAAGTCAACTAAATGGCTAATGATAACCATCAAAAAGCCTGCCATTTGATATAATAATATTGTCTGCATAACTTTATTCGAAATAAAAAGCTTCATTACACCATTCCTTGCTAGAGCTTGATAAAGCTCTTAAATTGTTTAAACTGTCCTTTTTGGTTAGGAATCCAACTTAGCTCAGTAGACAATATTTACTTGGCTAATTCTCCGTTAATTGTGTAAATTATGATGTCTGAATTACGACAGACTGATAACTGCCTTTATACAAACGAAGACTCAAGAGCAACGATTCGGAACCTCCTGCGCAAGTGGCTCGCCTGAGGAAGAGTGCAAATAGTAGGCTTTAAGTTCTATTTATCGGCGTCGTGCTAATTTTCGGTGTCGATATGCTCAATCATCAATGTGCTGATCCATATAGAAAGCGTCATGAATCGCAATTCCTTTTTCTACTAAAGTAGATTGATTGAAAGCATATCTCAAGCGTCATCCATCTTTACCAGCTGCTTAATTTCATAGAACGAACGTTGAAACAAAACTTTCGGAAGGTCATCTAAAAATAACTTCTATTCTATAAGCATTATACCAAGAACATCCTAACATAACGATGAGTCGAAAGGTTCGAAATGCGGCTTCAGAGAAAAGTCATTAAATAAAGTTGACAACAGCGAATCTTCAAAAAACCCCGAAATGTGCACTTCTACTGATTCTAACAAACTGCGGAAACGCTATTCAAATAATTCTGCACCTAACTAGTCCAGGTATAATTATCTATCAGCTTCAATTCAAATCGCAAAAGAAAAAACAAAATCTCTACAAAAAATATGTTGCTTTATCACTTTTCATCCAAAATCGTGCGAATCATCAAACGTTATAAAAGCGTGGGATATCAGGGAAGTTGTGGTGGTGGTGGTGGTGGGCGTAAGGGAGAATCACCATCATAATAGTAACAATATCGATTATTTCTTCGTTGTCACCACCTGGGAAGCAACAACCGCCACTTCAGCTTTTACGTCCGCTTGATCCAGTACCGTTCGACAGATGCTGGCATAAGTAAAAGCGTCGCCATGAAGACGTTTAATCTTGATCCCAAGTTGTGAACTTGACTCAATGGAAGGACTGCGACCTCGCTGCAGCTCAGAGCTCGAGGTGGGTTTGTCTAACACAGGAGTCGGATTTGAACCAGTTGATGTGTTGCTGCTTAGCTTCTTAGAGGCCTGAAGATGAAGACGTTTGGAGATACTCGTCTTGCCTACGACGGCGACCACTTCAATCGAGAATTCCAAAAGAGCTCTACCCCAGTCGTTTGCGAAAGTACAAACGAAACCGTGCCTGGATGAATAAAGTAGAGATTTACATGAGGCTGCAATTAGTGACCAGCGAAAAATCTAGTTTTCGCTTAAAATGAACTAGAACTAACAATACTATCAACTGAAAAAGTATTGTAATTAGGAGAATTCTAAATAATTTATGACATAATATAACCACTGGTGATCCGAAATTTTTAAGAAATTAACCTAAGACGAGAAAGTTAGATGCGCAAGTGAAATTCCTCACTCGACTTCTTGAGTAATTCTTAGGAGTACCAATGTGGTCACCGCAGCAAAACTTGCCTTTTCAGAGTGAATCTGATCGAGTTCTTGGTCAGTGATTCCGAAATTTTCTCGAGAATTTCCACTGCAGACAGATCAGGTTTCGCAAGCATCACATTGTTGTTTCCACTTCCTAATATACCACCACCGCCGCCACCGACACTGCCACCAATGCGAATCTTTTTCAATTTGCTTCCAGCAGGTAGTGCCACAGCCCCAGAACTCGTCGTTGTGGTCTTCCGTGAGAGAATGAATTGGCGGAAGAGGTTGGCGCTTCCGCTCCCATGACTGACGGATGTTCCACTACCTGTGGCGTTGCTCGAGCATACCGAGGTGTCGCCTCCACCACTACCGCCCAGGTTGAAACTGTTGCCATTGTCTTGAGGGTTGGTGGTGGTGGTTGACAAAGAGTACTCCACCGTGCCATCGAGGTCGTAGCACATAGAATTAAGAAGGTCGTCGGCACTACTTGCCATTGTTTTACCTCCTGGCCCTCCATCGTCATCTGTTTCAATAATTGTCCGACCGAGAATCTGCTCTGAGGGTGGACGTGAGCCGGTACTAAGAAAGCAGACGTTCGCATTACTTTTTTTGCACTATAGGAAATCTTACATATGAGTTTTAACGATGACCTAACCTTCGCGCTTCAATGGCAATTTTTCCCAACCCTTTAACGCCCAAATTATTTTTTTGATCCCCTCTGTTATGAGTCTAGCACCAATGGGCTAGTTTTGAAAGGAGACTGTACGGTCCTCCTGTGGGTAAGAAGACTTATTCAGTAGCATAACTAATGTGGATCAAATCTTTGACTCAACCAGCTGTCGTGGCTAAAATAGTGAAGTAACCACCAGTTACAGTCGTCGCAAAGAGCAAGAAACCACAAATTCAATGACGTTTAAGCGAGTTGACTTCTGACTTCAAACTACCATGGCCCGACTGCTTGCCATATTCGACCCCTTTCACAGTACACATCTTACCTCTTTCACTACCTTTGTGTCTGTCTGCCTCTTTTACATATGTGAATCGCTCTTCTGTACCCCACCCCTCGACTCTCTTCTACTTTGATGAACCTTCCCTCTATGAAGCCTGAAGTCAGCTAAATGGCTAATGATAGCTATCAAAACGCCTGCCATTTGAAATAAATAAATAATTATTCCAAATAGCGTGGACAAAACTGCCCTATACATATCACTAATAACAATGCATCCGGGTTTCCTACACAAATATATACACTAATATACACATCAAAAGGGCTTACTAATTTTCCCGCTCGTTAAGTCCAAGATCTTTGGAAATCTGATTAAGTTGGGAGTCGATGGAACGACCTGGAGATAGAGTAGTGATCACGGGATTAGGAAATTCTTTTCTTGAAGGAGTTTGCAAACCGATGCTGCGTTTGGAAATGGCCGGTGGAGGCATCAGTTGAATGTCTCGGTTTGCTGCTGTGTGTTCTGTCAAGATGGGCTATAAAAAGGGAAACAATTTAGACCAAATT